TCTTTCATTTCGTCATTCTCATTCAGAATTGGGTTTTCTATGAGGGCGTTGGTGTATGGGTTTGAGGATGCTACGTTGTATTTGGGGTTCGGCATGGTTCCATAGCATGGCTTTCATCATGTGAGCCTTGGGTTGGGTATTTTGGTGGAGTTGAGGTTGAGGCATAGGTTGTTCTGGATTTCCTAGGGGGGGCATGGTTAGAAAATGGAAATGGTATCTGCTAACTTTAAGACCCCAAACCCCCTCCACCCTAGCCCCCTAAGGGTCCCTATGACTTAAGCCCTCAAACCTGAAAGGACCCCGTGCTGTGCCGCTGGGCCTCCCAGAAACCCAGCCTTCCACGAAGCTTGAGATGCTCAGCCTGCAACTTCGAGTTTTAGGGTTTCTTCTACTACTACTATTACTACTACTGCTGCTATTACTACTAGTATATGGTTTAGGTTTAGGGTTTAGGGCTTGGGATTATCAGAGGGTTCGGGGTTTAGGGTTGCTTTTGGGAGCTTAGTGTCGGGTTCTATAAGGGCTCCTTTAAAGGGTACTACATGGTTACTACAAGGCTTTTGGGGGCTTAATGTAGGAACCTGATTAAGAAACCCTTGAGGGCCTTTCTTTAGGATCCCTTTAAAGGGGTCTATGAGGGTTACTCTAAGGGATCCATAACGGCACTATAATTATGTAGGACCCTGATTGAGGAACCTTGGGCCTTTATTAATAGGGGATCCAAATATGAATCTTACTTTTTTGGTGTTATAGGCCCAGGGCTTCTGAATCAGGTTCCTACAGTATTATAGTACCCTGATAGCAACCCCTGTAGACCCCTTCAAAGGGACAGTAAAAAAAGGCCCAAGGGTTTAAGGCCTTGCAAGGCTCCCTCTAAAGTGCCCTTACTACTCCTTCTAGGGTTTTGGGCTTTAGGGCTCAAGGTTTTAAGGTTTGGGTTCCGTTCAGGGTTCCTGCAAGTGCTCCTTTACACTGTTGGGAGTTCCGTCAAAGGTTTGTGTATCAGGGTCCCCTCAACTAACATACCTCAGAACCTGTTCGATTCTAATCCTTAGATCCCTACGGAGTCGTAGGGATTGAAAACCAATGAAATTTCAAAGTGCTTAGAGCCCGTACAACACGAAACCCTCAACCCTTAAAACCCGAATCCATAAGAGCCCTAAACCCATAGAGCCTGTCTAGTGACCCTTAAACTAACCTAACTAACCCTTAAGAGCACTCCCGGAAACCCTTACAGTACAGCAACCCGTGAAGCAACCCTTCGAGAAGCCAAAGGAAACCCTTACACAGTTGAAGCCTCAAAGGCACCCTAACTGAAACTCTTGAAGGAACAACAACAACAAAGGGATTCCGCGGTACTACTACTACTGCTACTACTACTACCACCATCACTACCACTATTCACTATTGAGAGTTTGTGTTTGTTTCAGGGTCCTACAGTGCTGTAGGGTTGCGAGCTTTGAGTTTGCAAGAGATTGCCACCTCGGGGTGAATCAGAGATAATCAGAGTTGCAAAGTCAGAGTAGGGTGCAGGTTAGACACTGCTCCTAAAGCCTACAACCCGATAAGACTGTCTACTAAAACCCCATCTCCCTCTCTACTAAAGAATCCCCCCTGTATTTTCAAAAATCTACTTTAGAACCCTCATCAGAAAGTCTATGGCACCCTTACCAGCTCTTCAGAACCCTTAAAAGCCCTGATGTCATGTGATTTGGGGAGTTGGATCTTTGGGCCCTAAACCCTTGTTTGCACAGACTTATATATGCCCGCCCGGGTGGATCTCGGATCTGCTTTCGTGGCAGTAATTCTTAGGGCCTACCGTAACCCCAAATAACCTACCTTCTTTTTTAGGACTTAAACGAGGAAATCATAATAAGGAGCCCGAAAACGGCAGGTTCTTCAAGGTGAAAGTAAACCCTGCACTCTAAACTCAGTTTGATCACCCTGGCAACGCACCTTCAAACTTCCAGATCCGAGAGCTTCGCACACCCAGCTCAAAGTGGCACCGACAAGTAGGGTTTAAGGTTCAGGGTGTAGGTATCAGCTCATCTTTGTAATGTTCTGTGTTTATTCTGTCCTAAAGCAAACCAACATCCGAAACCCCGAAACACGTCAGAACCACAGACATTCGACATCTAAACTGCTTGAACCCTTCAGACTGAATATGGGTGCCTCAACAGTCAGAATCATAGGCGCCTGAATATTTGGAATAGGGTTTTGGGTTTTTTATACCATAAATATTATAAGGAACCCCTCAAATAGTATATGTAATTTTAAAGCCCCTGTGTAGGTACTGGAAATCATTCAGACTTCTTTTCGACTCCCAAGAGGCCTCGCGCTCCTCCCTCTCGATCTCCATCTTCGCACCTGAATCCGCAAAGTCTATTTGGGAACATGGACCCTTGACCCCTGAAACCCTAGAGAACCCTTAAAGCACCCTTGTAGGAATTCTTACAAGACCTTTAAGTCTGGAGTTGATCCTACCGATGGACCCACACAGACCATCTTTCAAATTGGAAAGGTGCTATTTTTTTGAAGAGGTGAAGAGGGGGGGGGGGGGCAGGAACCTAAACAACCCTAAAGATCCCGAGCCCCTCAATGAGCACTGTATGATATGACCCTGTCTACAAGGCTCCGGAGTGCTGGGGCCGAGAGTTACTCATGGTTTAAGCTTTCGGGGCGTAGGTTAGAAGGGGCCCCCCACCCTGTAATAGTGACTATACGGATTATACTAGGGCCCCATTATATTCCTATTGTGAATTGTACCACTATTACTGGGCGGGCCCTTCTAAGGCGTAGGGTAGGTATGGTCTTGCGGGGCTTATGAAGTAAGGGGGGGTAACGTTACGTCATGACAATCCTTCACACTCTCTAAGCCTCCGTTTTAGGTCCCTGAAACAGTACGGCACCCTTACAAACAGGACCCTAAAAGGCCCCTTCATGTAGAGACCTACCCACAAACTCGGATCCGCACAGCGGCGCTGCAGCTCTGCAGCCTCGTGGCATGAAAAGGACATCCTAGATTCCCCAATAGCCCCTTCATAATCGGGTTTGTGTATTATAGTATATACTACTAGTGAAGGTACACTTTTTTTCATACGGGAACCCAAAAAGAAAGAGTGCCAATGGGTACTACTGGGGAATGTAGCAGAGAATAGACTGTATGTAGGTACCTACGAACGTACGGATAGATGTGTATGCAGATGAATATATGTATGTCCGTGTGTATACATAAATGTATGTGCGCATGTGTGTGTGTGTGTGTCTATATATACACCAGGACAAAGACTGGAAAGTGCACCCTTAGGCCTGGCATTGAAGCACAAGGACGCTCTCTCTCTCTCTCTCTCTCTCTCTCTCTCTTTCTCTCTCTTTGCTTTGCTTTGCTCGGGGTTTCTCTCTCCCTCTCCCCCACTTACACACAGCACAGGGCCAGGGTTGCTCTTCTCCCGAGGCTGCAGTTCCGGAAGAGGCGGCAGCAGACTTCGGGCATGAGTTGGGTACGGCCCCCCATACAGTATCAGTCTATAGTACGGCTGCTGTTAAGGTCCTTATTTTTCTGCATTATGAATATTATCCAACTGTTACTGAGTGGCGGCCGTACCCAAAGGCATGAGTATGACCCAGAGGGTCGAGCTTATCCTAAACCCAAATCCAAAGCTCCTACCAAAGGGGACTTTAAATTTTGAATAGGGTGTTGGGGCCCCTTATACTATGATCATAATAAGGAACAAGAACAACCACCAAAAAAGAATAGGCAATTCTTAAAGACTCTCCAGACCCAAGAGTGACCTAGGAATAAAAAGGGTGCCCCTTTTTGGTGTTTAGGGGCTTAGAAAAGGGGCTTAGAAGAAAATCTGAACCCTTAAAAAAGGAATAAGGGCTTACTCCGGGTCCTAACTCTATTTACAAGCCCGGAACCCTGAGCCGAAACCCTGGAGGTGTGCTGAGCCTGCTCCTTTGCGTCTTGCAACTCATCCTGCATCAGCATTTGGGAGTTTCCGAATATATAGGGGCCCCTAATATAGTACCCTAAATAGTAGGATCCTTAATCAGGTACCCCTAATTTTTGGAAACTCACATTTGGTGTTGAGGGCTTACGGTTCCAAGTCTGGTACTCGGGGATTTGGGTTTTCGACTCGCGCACTCGCGCGACACAGGCACGGCTTCGTAAGGACAGTTTGCTACGGGTTTGGGCTTTGGGGTTCCTGATTTGAAACGCAGACAAGGAGAGCACGCGAGCACTCTCCTGCGCGCGGGCGCGCACCGAGTTCTCTGGTCTGCTCTCGCTCCCGACCGGATGAGGCGCTGTCGGCACCTAGCACCCTCTAACCCTTAGGCCTTACGCTAGTGCAACCCCTCGCGCCTCATCGTAGTCCCCCCTTTTGGGGGCGAGCTGGAGCTGGTTGTCTACTGTGGCACTGTTCCGAGCATGCTCGCTCTCTCTCTCTCTCTCTCTCTCTCTCTCTCCCTCCCTCCTCTAGCCCCCCCCTCCCTTCCACTCTCCCTCAGGTACTTGTTCTCTCTCTCTCTCTCTCTCTCTCTCTCTCTCTCTCTGTACCTCTCTCTCTCTCTCCCTCCTTCCTTCCTCTGTCCCTTTCTCTCTGTCCCTCCTTCCTTCTCAACCACAGTCCTTAGTGGTTTGTTCTCCTGCTCTCTCTCACTCCCTCTCTGTGTTAGTCTGCACCGTCTGGGTAAATACATGCCAAAGCAGTACACTGGATCTGTTTGACGCCAATTTCCTACTAGTTCAAGTTCAAGCCGAGAACTACGTGCATCTGAAACCGGGCGACATGCTAAATCCACGCTACATGGACAAATGGCCATCTGTCCAGGCCCAATTTCTGTGTCTACTGATCTGCTTCTATGTACAAGCACACTAGGCTATGGCAGGTTTCCTTTAGAACAACATTCATGCCATGTAATCTGTCGGGATTCCTCCCCTCGCCCGAACCACCCTTTTTGAAGGCGCCTTGTGGGTCGGATCTACGGCCTGACGCCTAAGTGGAGATGAGGTCTCGTATGGCACGAATCATCCTCTGGTACTCGTCCAGGAGCTCGTCCACCTCTCCCAGGGAGAGGTCATCCGGGGAGCGGTCAGAAAAGTTGAAAGTTACACCAGCATCCATCAGCCACAAGGGCATGGAGCCGGACTGGCCTGCGGAGTTCTCCGCGAGCTCAGCGGAAGCAAGACGCCGAGAGCTGCCGCCGATGACAGCGAGGAAAGCCGAGGCAAGATCGGCAAGGGCTTTCCGTTCATCGGGGCCCATGAGCGATGGATGTCTGAAAGCTGCAGTAAACTCCAGATTGGAATAGAGATTTGGGGGTGAAGCCTTCAAAATGAGAGCAGCCAGAAGCTGCTCCCAGTTCGACTGCTGGCCCTCTCCTCTTTGCCGGAAGACCCGCTCTACCACGATGCTCTCGACGAGGCGGATGGCATTCACGAAGCAGCTCAGCTTATCCCTTGGCGCCCGGTGCTGCTCCACCATCTGCAGCTCCAGCACCGCAGCATCAAAAACCTCGAGCTGCTTCGTGTCGAACTTGGAGACGGCAGCTTGAATCGTGCTCGCCCCTTTGGCAGCACTTCGAAGTGCCTGTTCCACTCTCTCGTCCTCCCGGATGTCGGCGGGATCGTGGCGGAAGAGCAATTTGTATAGCTTCAGGACCTCGATTCTCCCCAGCATCCCCTTCATAACCTACCAGTCCACTATCCTAGGCCTCGGCGAACTAAAGGATACCCCAAAACGGTTAAAGGTTACCTACCTTACTAGGTTACTCTCAAGATGTGTTTTCATAGGGTGGGGGTTTCCGAAAATAGGGGACCCTAAAAAAGTACCCTAGATAATAGGATCCTTAATATAAGGACCCCCAAAATAAGGTATCCCTAATTTTCGGAACATCCCATAGGGCTTATAGGGCTTCTCAAAGGGAGCTCTAAGGGTCCAAAGTGCTAGGTTTCCTTGCAGCCCCTGCATAATCGGCCCATGCCTTTTTTTGTCATAAGCAAGCCCTGAACCCTGAAACCTAAGCCCTAAATGCTTAAATCCGAGAGACCTTAGTAGAGTTATAAGTATAGAGGCCTTAATACTTAGAATAGGGTCTTGGGGCCCATGATACTATAATTACAATAAGGAACCCCCCGAAGAACTATGGGTAACTATCTAGGCCCCTACATTACCCTTCGGGGCCCAGGAGCCACAAACTTCTCCAAGCCTTCATTCGCAAGCTCTGAGGCGATGCTTTCGCCATCGTCCCGGAAGGCTTTAGCCACCAGGAGCTTTGGAGTCACCTGAAAGCTTCTTGAAATCGGTTAAGGGTTTTGAGGCTTCTTTGTGTGGTGGTCTTTCGGCGCTCACACTCGTGTGTGGTGGTCTTTAGGGTTTTTAAACAAAAATATGTATGTGTATATATATATATATATATATATATATATATATATTTATTTATTTATATACATATATATATATATACATATTTATCTATGCTCACATTTTTATATATAGAGCACAGTAACGTCAAACAACCTCAACTCGGGATTCCCCGGGCCTCTGCCAGGAAAGCATGGATCCGGCGGGCCGCCTGCAGGCGCGTGAGGTTGGCCGGGAAGCGGTTCACGAAGTCCCTCACTTCGTTCACCACGGGCTGGGCAGATTGGTCCTTGAAAAGATGGGAGTTTCCGAAAACAGGGGACCCTAATGTAGTAGCCTAAATCGGTCCTTTTAGGGTTTAGGGTTTCGGCGCTCACACTCGGACAATCCAGGCGAGGCATGTGGTTCGGAGTCTGCTGAGTGAGACATCACTAGGAGAGGCAGTCAAGTACAAGCAACAAGTTCATAACAACACATAAAGTGACCGTGCCCAGGTGACTCACTCTCCCTCAGGATCCTATAATGGGTAGCAAGAGGGGCGACTCATAGGACTCCGAGCACAAGCAAAGGTGAGTCACACCAGTAAGTTCGTAAATTGATGGTGTGAAGACATGATAGAACATATGGTTTAGGGTTTAGGGTTCAGGGTTTGGCAGATTGGTTTGTGAAAAGATGGGTTTAGGGTTCAGGGCTGGGCAGATTGGCCCTTGACAAGATGGGAATTTCCGAAAATAGGGGAACCTAACGTAGTATCCTAAATAGTAGGATCCTTATTACAAGGACCCCAAAATGAGGTATCCCGGATTTTCGGAAACTCCCAGATGGTTTTCGACGCTCACACTCGCACACAGCCATCTTTTTTCCCTCCTACCTAGCAAGGACAAAGCCCGCATCTTTAGGGTTCAGGGTTTGGCAGAGTGATCCTTGAGAAGAGGGGGGGGCCTTTTCGTCGTTGGCTTAGGCTATCTTTTGTGAGGTATGGTAGAGGAACTAACAAACGAAACGATGTAGGGAAGGGGGTCTTCTGAACTGCCGGATTGGTCCTTGAAGCGCTCCACAAACTGTGGGTAGCTGTAGCCTGTGTTGGACACAGACAGCTTGCTCATGTCGCTGGCATAGCCGTGCTCCGGCTGAGGCGCAGTGGCCAGGAAGCTTCCCCTGCTCTCACTTTCCAGCGCCCTGGGCGACGGGTCTGCATCGGCCTCTGCCACTGGCTCATCTGGAGACTCCTCTGGGGACTCCTCTAAGGACTCGGGGCCCCGAACTTCCTCTTCTGCCTGCGGCTGCGCTTCGGGCACGGCCGCTTCGCCCTCTTCGAGCCCTTGGGAGGTCGGGGATGGTGCTCCTGGCGGACCTGTCGCAGCCTCCACCGGCTCCGGGATGTGTGCCATGAGCTTTGGAGGTTGTGAAAGACTAGGAGACTTGGCATATCTTGACATCTCTTCTCGCAGCTGCTGCTTGCTACTTCAGGACTCGTGATTAGCATAGCAAGCCCAGCAAGATAGTCGTTTCGAACCGCTGCTGCCGATGTGGTGCGAAATGGCTAGCGGCTAGCACGTTCAGCACATCACCGTGGCCCCTGATTTATCTTAGGGCTTCAATGGTGTGGGGGTGGGTTGGGCCGAGCAAGACTGACCATGAAACGCAACGATGACAAGCACAAAAGGAGAGTAGTTGTAACAAACTCGACATGGGAACCTGTACTGCCCCTTCAGTCCCAGAGAGCCCAATACCCCTTAATGAAGGAATATATATATAACTTAAATTATAAGGGGGCGCATAATATTTTAGTGGTATTGGGCTCTCTGGGGTTGTGTATTCTTGCTTCTCCTTGGACTTTGACACCAGCAATCCAAACTTTCTATCGTGGCAGCACCACCAGAATCACCAGAAGCTTGAATGTTGCCTCCAACTGACGGCTTGCGGCACTGGGTTTTCCAACCTCAGCAGATTCTCCAAGGCACAACCAGGCATTAATTATATCATATACCCTGGAATCGTAAAGTCAACCGAAACACAAACTTGTTGCATCTGGGCTCGTGAGATCATGAAACAACAATGTTCAAGGTTACCCACACTACTAAGATTCTCGAGGCATCCCAACACCAGTCATGCAACAGCTGGAAAGTCTCGGTGCTGAAGGGCTGACGCCTCCACTCAGCTGCTGCCGCACCGCCGAGAGCGTAGCCTGCACTGGAGTCCCTCAACATCCCTCAACATCCCTCAACCCCAACTACTATTTGCTTAAGAACCCCCCAAAAACTAAAAAATATATTCCTTATGGGGGGTAATATAGGGATTTTTATTTTTACATTTTTTGGGGTGGGTTTCTTAAGCAAAGAGTAGCCAAGCCTCGGGCTTCGGAAAGCCCTGTAGGGTTCTTGCAGGGCTTTGGAAGTTTAGGGTCCCAGGGCTTCGAAAGGTGCTGGAGGGATTTAGGCCTAGAGGGTGTGGGTCAAGGGTTTCGGAACTAGGATCTGGAGATCCGCGAGCTGCCAGGGAATATGATAACAATAATAACCATCATCATCATAATCATCATCATCATCATCAAAACCGAAATTCTGACGATTATCTTAATATGTGGAAAAGATAATAATCATCATCATCATAATCATAATAGTCGAAATTATAACAAACGTTCCGCAAACCTGCCCTGTCCACTGGGTTGGCTTAGATGAACCCTCGACCCTCAACCGAAGGAGCCGACGACTCGCTGCATCTCAGTGTCTGCATGTCTATCAACTGTTGCTTCTCTTATATGAGAGGGGAGCTCAGTTGACCGGGTGCATCTTATCTTATTGCCCATCTATGACCTAGGAACTTGAGACAGCCAGCTCTGCAAAATGGCTTCAGGACATGGAACAGGAACTAAGTCGGTCAGCTGGGAGCTGCCTTCTTTCTGTTCCATGGTGTTCTGTTAGCTCTATCATGACAACGACAATAAAATGCGTGCAGTAAGCCGAGACAACAAGTTGCAGTTCAAGGGCAATTCCAGTGCAAAGAAAGCTGATTCAGGAACGCTGAAAACACCTGCGAGGAGCAACAGTTCACAATAGCTGCTCACCAATCGCATCGCTGCCTGTGCAATGGTTGGGCGCTCGGCTCGGACATACTTAATGATCGCGGCTGCGAAGCACCCAAAAGCGACGATAATGATGATGATGATGATGGTGATGATGAGTCTGCGTTGCATGGGTGAGGGATGCCAGTGGTGAGGCCCTTGGTGTATGGAGGTGCCATGATGGTAGCCGCTGTGCCTCGGCAACAGCCGCTTGCTGTCTGAGTTCATCAATGGTGCGCTGCTTCTCGGAAACTTCGTCACGGACAATGGCCACCTCACAGGGGAGAAACATCCTAGCATGTAAACCCTAAACGTTACACCCTACGGTCGAGATATTCAACTTACCAGATTAAAGTGGGACCCGAAATGATGCCGGCGCTGCACTGGCCAAACATGCATGTTGCTCTTGTTGCGGATTCTTTGCTCTCGTCCTTTCAAATGAAGTTCATTCTAGGGATTCTAGGGTATAGACTAGCAGCTCATAAGCATTGTGCAGACACGAGGTCGGAGTCTGATCGACTTCGGCCTGGATCCGCTTCTCCTCGTTGCTGTCGGTCAGCAGCTGACGCAAGTAGCGGATCTCTTCTAGCAGCACATCATCCTTCGACCTGCTAACGGCTGGGGTAAACCCCTTTTTTTGCAATGCTCAAACCTGAAACCCTAAATCCCTGAACCTTAAAATGCCTTGAGCCTGGCTCTTTGATTCTCTTTAACTCTCCCATAATGCAGTTACTTGCTTCGCAATCGGAGAAAGTCAAACACCGCCTCTGTGCCGGAAGCTTCCTTTGAAAAGTAAAATAGACTGGGCCAGGGCGGGAAACCCGGCGCTAGTACTAGAATACTAGAACTCCGGTGCCCGGGCTGAGGGCGACTGAGCAGCTTCACAACATGTGACGTCACACTACGGAAGCCACTACGACACTGCAAAAGGACGAAGAGCTACCTCTCGCGCGAGAAATCGCGAAACAACCCCTAGTCTCGGATGCCACCATACTGTCGGGGCCCAATAATGAAACCAGGGTTTCCTCCCTATCTCCAGCTATGAAAATGCTGGTATCAGACCGGGTGCACCGAAACTTTTTCACCGTTCGTTCTGGTCAAAAAGAAATCCCTAGTTTGTGAGCACCGTCCCTCGCAACAAGCAGTTGCACAAACCATGTCAAATCATCTTCATTGCGTATATCAAAAATGTGTGTATATATATATATATATATATTCATCTGATGATTTTTATACATAGAGGGGCTAAGCGGGGATACGACTGATTATTCGAACCCGTAAACATCCCTATACTCAGCTCCAGGGTGTATGAACTGCTGTGGGGACATCTGGGCTTGCTCTGAGCGAGGGAGGTGCGCACAGGCCGCGGAAAGGAGGAGATTCATTATGCATTTAATGTGTATTTCTTGGAAGTCGCAGCCACGTTGCAGAAAGCACAGCCCAGCTCCGTCTGCTCGGACAAACAGTTTGACTTCACCCCTACACCCTAAATGTTATAACCTGATTTGCTTCAAGCCTCTTAAGGGCATGACACTGGTGATCGACCCCAAAATCCGGCTGGCGAAGCTGCGAAATGAGCCTGCAGAATGCCCTGCAGGAAAAAAGCTCGTGTTCTTCTGCCGCACATGCCTTGTGAGTGCTGCCTGAGCCTGCCGAAGGCTGTGCTGGACAGGGAAAATATGACGGTGATTCGCACTGATCTGCGCCGAGAGCACGCAAAAACAGCGCAAACCAGGAAGGGCAATGAACGGCACAAAGAGGGCGTGCAGTTACTGGAAATGTTTTGCAGCGCGTTTGACCGACGTCTCCATGTTCAAAGGTTGGTTCAGAGTGGAGACATGAGAGTTTCCGAAAATAGGGGACCCTAATATAGTACCCTAAATAGTAGGATCCTACTCATAAGAAGCCCCAAATAAGGTACCCTTAATTTTCCGACACTCCCACATATGTACAGACAGTCGGCAGCATCCTCTGTGTTGTCTGCTCTATTAAGAGATCTGGAGTTTTCCCAATTCACGCCACCAAAGCCGTAGTGTACCATCCCGTTCGAATCCTTGCTACAGCCTCTATGTTTGCTTTCACAGAAGCTTGATTTCGAACAGTCCGCACTGCCGCAGATGCTGCCTAGCCGAAAAGGATGCGAAATGATGCACTGCTACAGATGTAGATTCACAGGGCCCCTATGGTGGGATGAACGTAGCTGGGGCTTAAAGTCCATAAACAAGGGGCCTTCATCCTACCTACCTTCATCCCACCGTTTGAGGCACCCGACTTAAACGCACAGCTTAAAGGAACACGTCACCGTTGCAATCTCCAAGACGAATTTGCAGCTAGAGCATGCAGATCTGCGGAGCGGCGAAGGGGAGCTCCAACCGGAGAGGCAGGACTAGAGTTTACTATAACATGGTATAGTTCATTGTACGTAGCATACTTCAGTACACTCTAAGAAAAATTCAGAACAAGCTAGCAATCTACGGTAACATACTTTCATAGATCAGTTTCCAACACCGCCCGAAGGACAACGCATGCCTTGGTACTTGATGCGTTGTCCCGTTGCAGATCCTTGTCTTCCCCCTTTAAGGCAAACCTAAACATCACCAAACCACGACTTTGTTGACCGACTGCAGCTACACAGGATCTGAGCGTCGATCTCGAGGGTTGTGGTGGCTATCGACCCCAAGGGACGCTCGCCTGTGCTTTTAGGCTTGTTAGAGATGGGACCTGCTGATCCAACTCAATACGGACTTCCACTCGACCGGCATTCCGTTCGGTGCCGCAGAATGCCTGCAAAGCCGCACCATCGTGAAGAAGCCCGCCACGGGCTTGTGGGATAGTCGGGATCCTCGGAGTCGTCCAAGTCCCACAGCGTGCCTGCCGATCCTCGCGGTGCACCCCAACGACTCAGTCGCTTGATGACGTCGGCATGGCCTCGCCGAACCGGTGAGCGTTCTGGGTCCTCGGACCCGTTCGACTCAGAAGCAGACTCCTGGCTCTTTGTATTTTGGCACAGCTTGGACATCTCCTCTTCGCCGAGGCAGTGTACCCGCTTCATCGTGAAGTCGACTTCGATCTCATCGGCACGCAACTCATCCAGGCCACCCGGAACGGGTGCATGCGCATGGAAGAAGCTCACCGGTGCGCTCCGCGGCAACGGATCGAACTCGCTCTCGCTTCGAAGGAGTGAGTCCACGGCGTAGAATGACCTTATGGGCGTGACTACCACGGAAGCACCCTCCCAAGACATCTTGCTGCACTGGGAGAAGCTGTGACTAACTGACATAAACCAGGGATGTTGCTTGAGCCGTAGCCGATCGTAGCCATGTTGAG